TACACTTTTGATAGAAATAGGCTTCCTCAAATTCTGATGTTTACTATGCCAAAAATGGATCTCAAGTAGAAACTCAAAATCACGAGCATAACTTTTTCGCCTGAAATTTGATACTTGATAATACTTCGACCATATTTCACCTCTTGATTCCTTTCCTCATCCGATTGAACTTTAACACTCTTGAATCTTCATTTCATTTCCCGTCTCATCTATGGATTATTCGCAACTTGGTCCTCGATCTATCGCTTTGTTCTATTTTGGTCCTTTTTCGGCTCTTTTCTTCTGAATTCCATCTTTTCCATAGAAACACCTACATAGCATGAATTTAACAAGATTAAGTCATAATTCGACTATTTTGTCCATGTTTAAGTCATGTTAGTGAGCTAAATAAGTGTGTGAAAACACACTTATCAATACTGATGGCTCGTATTTCAATTGCAGAGCAGCATGACAGAAACGAGTATGTCAAGCCAGACATGTTCTATAAGAGGTGCCTGGCGAAGGAGAAGAAAAATGAAATCATTGAGCTCCACCTCTTCCACTATAAGAATCAGAGGGACGAGCTCTCTCATTTATTCAAGCTAAACCCACATTCTTCTCCAAAAGAAAAAAGGGAGACAATAATGGGAAAAGAGAAGGTCGGGCCTTCTGAGGAAAAGACATAGAAAACGAAGTTGGTTATGGTCAAGAACACCGGGCCTCCACCCCCTCCCAAGCGCCAAACTACAATTGACAAGTTTTTAAAAAACCAATTGATGTGGACCCCATCTTCTCCATGAAGGTGGTAGAGGCAAAGGAGGTGAAAGTGGAGAAGACGCCTCATAAAAAGGAAGAGAGGCAAAGAGGCCAGTCGAGATGGCTCTTTAAGAGATCCTTGAAAGGAGAAGGCTTAGAATTTTCTTGGAGACGGTCTGATGAGATCTTTCCAGAGGTTTTGGAAATGCTCCTTACCGAGGTCCAGGCAGCTAGAAGGATTCATCATAAGTAGTGGACTGATAAATACTCATCTTAGGTCAAGACCTACTCATTTGACATGCTAGAGGCTGGCCTTTTCCTATAGGCTCGCTCACAAGGCTTCTTCTTAAATGCCCAAATGGACATGAGAAGATTGTAGCGATCGAATAAAGTATTTAGCCAAAACACTGTTGATGTAGAGGCAGAGGCAAAAAGACTGAAGGCTGAGGCCTCTACTGCTGACGAGGTCATCAAGGTCTTTAGAGTGAAGCAACCGAGTCTAAGTTAAGGGTTGGGCTCCTCACTGATAAAAATGAGAAAATGAAGAAGGAAATACACCTTTGCAAAGCCGAGGTAAATGCTTTGATGAAGTGGGTTGAAAACTCTGATTTAGATATTCGTCGTTCCAGTCGTCGTTCCAGTAGGGTAAGAACACCTCCTACCCATCTTAGTGATTACCATTATTTTTCTACTCTTGACTATTTTCACAAGCCTCGCAATCATCGCGAAGCTTGTTCTAACCCTGTTTGACAGCAAATTATGTCTGAAGAACATGATGCTCTTCACAAAACTCATACTTGGGATCTAGTTGACCTGCCTCCTGGAAAGACTATAGTTGGGAACAAAGGGGTGTATAAGAGGAAAACGAACTTCGATGGTTTTGAAGTAAGACATAAAGCTCGTTTAGTGGCAAAGGGCTTTACTCAGAAGTTTGGCATTAACTATGAGGAGACATTTGCCCCTGTTGCTCGTATGGCCTCGGTCCGTTCTCTTTTGGCTATCGCCTCTGCATGCCGATGGCCTTTATTTCAGATGGATGTTAAGAATGTCTTCTTACATGGTGATTTGGCTAAAGAGGTCTATATGCAGCCTCCTCTAAGGTATCCTCATCCTCCTGGTAAAGTCTGTTGTCTCTGACGTACATTATATAGGTTTAAGCAAGCTCTCCATACTTGATTTGCCAAGTTCAGTTCCACTGTTGCACAGCTTGGATTTGCTTCTAGCCCTTATGATTCTGTTCTTTTTACTCATCATACTGACACTGGCATTACTATTCTACTATTTTATGTTGATGATATGATAATTACTGGTGATGATAATTTTGGTATTCATGAGCTTAAGCAGTTTCTATGTCAGCATTTTGAGATGAAAGACCTTGGTTCTCTTAGCTACTTCCTCGGCTTAAAAGTGTCCCCTACCTCTGATGGCTACTCTTTAAGCCAAGCCAAGTATGTTTCTGATCTTCTCACTCATGCTGGTCTCACATATTATAAGATAGCTGATAGTCCGCCGGAGCCCAACATCAAACTTCGTCCTACTGATAGAGAGCTCCTTCCTGATGCCACTCTTTACCGACAGTTTGTTGAGAGCTTGATTTATCTCACTATTACTAGACCAGACATTGCCTACGCAGTGCATCTTGTTAGCCAATTTATATCAGCTCCTCGTTCCATTTACCATGCAGCTGTTCTTCACATCTTATGCTATGTGAAAGGAACATTAATTCATGAGCTTCACTTTTCCTCCACTCATCCTTGATGTTGAAGGTTTACTATGATGCTGATTGGGCAGGGGACCCTACTGATTGCCGATCTACCACTGGTTTACTTTTTCTGCTTGGTGACTCCTTTATCTCTTGGCGAAGCAAAAAACAGATCGTTGTTGCTCGCTTTAGCATTGGGGCTGAGTATCGAGCCCCTGTTGACACTACTTCTGAACTTCTTTAGCTTCGTTGGCTTCTCCAAGATATGGGTGTTCCTCAACCCTCTAGCACTCCGCTTTATTGTGACAATCATAGTGCTCTCCAGATCATTCATAACGACGTCTTTCATGAACGCACAAAACACATCGAGTTCGACTGTCATTTTTTGCGTCATCATCTTCAGAAAGGGACACTTCACCTCTTATCAGTTCTTTCGGCTGATCAGCTGGTTGATATCTTCACAAAGGCTCATCCACCTGGTCGCCATCTTTCTTTGGTTTTCAAACTCCAATCGGCATCTTCAATACCACCTTGAGTTTGAGGGGAGATGTTAGCATATCTCCCTAATTATACTGATTGATGTTAGCATATCTCCCTAATTATATTGATTGACCAATCTCCATGATTTGTGTAATTGTATAATTAGAGCATGATTTGTATAATTAGCATTAATTACTTACCTTATGTGCTTGCCTCCTTCACCTATAAAATGATGGCTCTTGTACAATTTTATTTATCATAGAATACATAAGTTATTCACAATTCTTCTTCTATTCTCTTAGTTTCAACATTATCTAAGGATTTGTGTTTAATTTTTACAACGTTTATAGACAGTTTCAAAAAACTTATTTGAATTTTACTTCTTTTTACAATAAAAACATGTCATGCGAAAGGCCACACTGAACCCATCCCCATTACTTTGATTTTTCAATGCATAGATCAGTAGGTGGAAATAAAATTGTTAACTACTCCCAAGCTATGTCAACTTATTTATTATACATCATAATGATGTGATATGTAACAAGGAAAAATCTCTTCGGCGACTCATTATTCTACAGAAGGACATCGTGTTTATCCATAGCCAGCAATTAGAATAATCATTTTTCAAAAACTAAAAATATTTGTTATTAGGGACAAGTATGCAGTTGTTTTTAATCTGATGCCATTAGAAAAATCAACAAATAGCTACAACAAAAATATTGGGAAATAAACACGATTGATGACTAAAACTGACGTGACAATAATGAATCAATTTAAAAGAAATTTAATAAGGTAATTGTAGGGATATTGTAATAAATGAAAAATAATTTAGAAGTGTTTTGATAATGTATTGAGGATAATTATTTAGCTAGACCATCTGTATAGGATTAAACAGGAGCTTGTCACCCTATCCATCAAGCTACAATGGATGTAGATTTTTGTAGTTAGACCATCAATTTCTATAGGATGTGGCATGTAGCCTAGATCATTATTGCACGTTGCGCAAGCAATCATTACCTTCATTTCATTGGTGGGTAGAGACGTCAAAGGTAACATGTATCTTCTATTGATTAGCTATTGTGGGAAGCGTCAACGTCACTAAGGGACACTTCTTCATTTTGATCATAATGATTTTAGATTGCAACAGACTTGTGATCGATCTGCTTGGGATTTCCTTGATGGTTCGACCTTCTTGTTCCTAGGCCCTCTAAATCACTTTTTGTGGGTCGATGGTTGTGCCTAAGATCGAACACCAACAAACCCTAACTATTTATTAAATCATGCATCAGAATATATTTTGCTTATAGAGAATTTGTATTTAAATATTTATCAAGATATATTCACAACTTTTTTTTCTTGCAAAAGAATTTCATATAGCTCTCCCTTTGAGTCTCTCAGAAACAGTCCAACAAATAGGCAGTGAATGAACATAATCTTAAATCCAAAGGAGAAAGAATGTGTAATTCTAATAAATACAAATACAATGAATGAATGATGATACATATACAGAACCTAAAACAATGATGAAAGAATTTATGGTTAACGCGACATCATAACCTTAAATTCATCAAAATTAAGCACCCCATCTCCATTGAGATCAAAATGATTAATCATAACACTACATGCCTCAATGGTTCTGATCTCTCCTAATCTACTGAGCATCCTCTTCAAACTCTTGGGTGTAATGCACCCACTCCCCTCCATTTCATACAGCCTGAACGTCTCCTTTAAATCATTTGTCTTCTCTTCTTCTCCAACTCCAAATTCCACCAATTTCACGAAATCCTCAAAACAAAGCAATCCATCACCATCCGAGTCAATCAAAAAGACGGCCATCTCGGCGTCTGCCAACGACAACTCTCCTCCTCGGCCTATTGATCCAACAACGTTAACGCACTGCTGCAACTCCAAAGCCGATATTTTCCCGTCTCCATTTGCATCAAAATGATCAAACACGTGCTCGTATTGCTGTTGTTTGTCCATCAATGTCGAATTAAAGAATGAGTTTACCGATAGAAATTCTAAGAGAAAGATATAAGGAATATGATTAGATGCATAAAATGCCGCTTACTGATATTTATATATATATTGGTACGGATATACCGACGCGGAATGAGAGAGTTATGAGGGTTGAGAGTGTCAGCTTCCATGAAGTGTCTGATACATATTCATTGTAAGTAGTTCGATTTCGAAACGTATAGACTTTGAAATAAGAAACAAAATGTTTGATTATTTAGAGTTTACACGGTATTTACCACCGGAAAGTGATGGACGTTCGTGTATGCACATGTCATAGATGGCGGAAAAATAACGTGTGCACTTATTAAACATCGGTGCGACCCACTTATCAGTATGGATGGCTGATATGAGTTGGGAAGGTTTTGCGAATTATTTCCAAGGAAATATTTATCGGCTTCTACTAAGAATCAAGATGTTAATTAAATTTATTCTTATTTTTGGTTTGGAGGCAATAAAATTATTTGGTCATGTGGCAATCAAAAATAATTGTTTACGTAACTTTACTAGTCAACCATAAATGTTGTGGGCAGAGGCCGAATTCACAATAGTTTCTCCTAAAGATGTAATGGTCAAACTTGGACTTCTCAACCACATCTTCAACTATAATAAAATTCACATTTGCCGTCCAAGACACAGTATTATTATTCTTGAAATTGAAATATTACACCGAGTATTTTTCAATAGTCACGTTCACTTAAATTTAATCATCACCTGACGAGGTAGAGAAATTTATTAATCATGAGGAAAATTATATAATATTAAACAATACACGAAGCAATGTCAATGCTTGTCTAGCTCAGTAGGTAGAGCGCAACGCTAATAACCTTGTGGTCTTTGGTTCAAGCCCCATGGTGGACTTATATCCTTTCTGGCTTTCTCCAAAATATATTTTGTTCTTGAGTAATGTTATCTAGCTCCATTTAAGAGTGGACTCGGTCGGTTCAATCTAATTCCAAAGGGAACCGAATTGAATGGAATACTAATGGAAATTTTAGAAATGGAACAATTGGTTCCACAGCTAACTATAGAACCGAACCGGAACCATTGGTTCCAATCGGTTCTGGTTCGGTCCGATCCAGTTCTTTACATTAAAAATGTCAAAATAAAATGTTCACTAATAAAAAAAATCTTAAAATGCCAACGTGATACTTTTAATAAAATATAGAAGAACCGAACATACTATTCAAATATTAAAAGAAAAACAATAAGTATAAAAAATAATATAAATTACTATCATCAAACAATCATCAACTTAAATAAACTGCATAGTAATCCAATGATTAAACAAACTTCCATCAAAATCAAAATCCTACATTGAATTGGACACTCTTTAAAAATGTATTGCAACTTCTCGTTCAGTCAGTTATAATTTGTAGAAATCTAGTTAAAAAGTTTCGATCGGATCAACAACTATGTAATCAAAATGAAAACAAAATAAAATCTCGCATCTTAGAAATGAAATTATATATTGTAAATAAATTTATTTAGGTATAGATTTACCTAATATTCTAATTTGACTTGAGTATCAATTAATCAAAGAAGAATCAAAGAGAAGTAAAGTGCTCAAGTCTAAAATAAAGAAGGAACCCGATTATTTTTTATAAAATTGACTGGAGATTAAGTCATATATTTTCCCAAAAAAGGAAAAAATAAAAAATCCTATGAAACCGTCTGGTTCCCATACTAGAACCGGGAACAGGATCAAAATCGGTTGGTTCTTAATAATTTGTTCCAAAATCAAATCATTGCTTAGAAGATCCGGAACCAAACTAACCGGTTCCAAATGGTTCCGGTCCGGCTCCACCGGTTTCGGGAAAATAGCCCACTCCTAGCTCCATTGAGATTACAACTATAGTCTAGATGGCGCTAGATTATGGACTAAATGATATGTGAAATTAAATGACGTATTTAATTTCACCTATTATTTAGTGCCACCTAAACTGGGGTTGTAACTCCAGTGGAACTACGTAACAATATTCTTTGTTTTTGGGTCTATAATATTCCATGTTCAAGAATTTGATAAAAGGATTATATTTTCAGCTAGTAGGTTATAAAATGAAGATTCTTTAAAATAACTAGTCATTCATTGTTCATCCATACTTCCGGGATGAGTTGATACCCCCACACCATTTCGACTGTCATTTTCTTTTTGGTATCCAGTCGGGTTTTTTCGAAGAACGAGAAGATTGAAAAATTATAGGTGCTGATGCATCTCAAAGGTGAATTCAGTTCATCACTAGCGTATGATTTCTTGAGCACTAATTAGTTGCTACCAAATTCTGGTAGAGCTACGTCGTAACCGAAGAAACAGGTGGTGGCATGTATTCAATTGTGGTTGCAGTACATGGGTAATGCGGGACAATACCAAGAGAAAATTCAAAACCAATTAGGAAAGGAAATAAATAAGATAAACATTATTTCCTACTAGGAAATTTCTATTTAGCTCTATGATTTCTAGTTGTCTCTATCTTTTCTAGGTATAGTAGTGATATAATTTTTATCTTTTATTTAATTAGGACCATAGTTTCTTTACTGATTAGAATATGTATTTTAATTAGATTAGATTTTATTAGTTTACTTATCTTAGGCTCCTTATATTAGTAAGATTATGGGATAATTTTGCTGATATATAAGGGCTTTGTACACTTTTCAGAGTTTAATTTCATTATTCAATTCTTTATTATTAAGATATTTCCGTTTTTAAATTTATTGATAGATTTCAATATTTATTTGGTAAATTCCAAATAATTATCACTTTAGTTCGAGCGAAATTCGAGCAAACACCCGTTTGTATGTTACGAACTAGAAACTTTTATTTTTGTCCACATTTCCGTCTTGCGTTAGGTGATATAAGAGTAGACTTTTCCCATCACTATATCTTTGATTCATAAACATGGGTGACGTGCCAGTTACTAGAACAAAGATGGATTGACGACTTGACGATCTTACTACTCGGATCGAAGAACTTCGTCAACTGTCTCTGCGGGGTGTTGGAAACAATGGATAGAATGAAAATAGACAATCAACAATGAACGGATCGCTAAGCCTATAGTTCGAAGAGAAAATAATAGTAGGTGTGCAATAGAATAAGTGAATCAGAGTTTGGGTCGGAGTTTGAAGTACCGCCACGTAATCCTAATCATTAAAACTGAAATACCTTTGATGATTATCAAACTAAAGCTCACATTCCCCCGTTCTTTGGAAACATGAAGATTGAGGAGTTCTTGGATTGGTTGGTAGAGGTTCAAAGATATTTTAATATTATGGATGTTTCAGAGAACAAGATGGTTAAGATGGTGGCATTCTGTTTGAAATTTGAGGCAGCAGTATGATGAGATCAATTATAGAATGCTCGAAGGAGACATGAAAAAAGTCGGATTCGAATTTGGAGAAAGATGAAGCAATCTACGATGGATCGATTTTTACCTGCAGATTACGAACGGACTTTATATCATATATACTTGGGATGCATACATGGAAGTCATACATCATCATACGACACTAATGAATTTGTGAGACTGGCGAAGCGGAATAATCTATCAGAATTTGAAAATCAAAAGGTAGCCACGTATACCAGTGGTTTGAAGGTAGCTATTCAAGATAGAATTGGTTTGCAGAATATTTAGACAATGCAAGAAGCCATTAACATGACGAAGAAAACGGAGATACCGGAATCTCATAAGAGGGAAATTTCTTATAAGAGGTCTCCATCTGTTGAAACATCATCATCCGTTGCTTCAGATAAAGGAAAAGCCCCATAACAAACCCCATCCAATCCTAACAAAAGCAATATTAACTATATTATTCGGTTTGGGAATAAAGATTGGACTCAAGGCACATCTCAGAATGCAATTTCGTATGCTAAACCCACAAGATATTTGTTATAGATGCCACAGGCTGATGCATCGCTCCATTAACTATCCCAAAAGGAAGCAAATCAATTTAATGGAACTGGAGGCAGCGGACGAGAAGGAAGATACTAAAGTAGAATATGAGTATGCGGGAGTACAATTTTCTATTGAGGAAGGTGTAGAAAGGCTTACTTAGTACTGTAAAGACTCCATTTGTCGCCTAAGGAGGAGGGACAGTGCCACTACATCTTCCATTCGCTTTGTTCTATCAAGAATAAAGTGTTTAAAGTTGTTGTGGACAATGGAAGTTGTGAGAACTTTGTATCGAAGAGGTTGGTGAATTTGATGAAACTACCAATTGAGAACCACTTAAAACCTTATTCACTTGGTTGAGTGAAGAGAGGTTCTTCCATTCAAGTTGTTGAGACTTGCAAAGTACCTGTTTCCATCGATAAACATTATAATGATGAAATTATTTGTGATGTTATTGACATGAAAGTGTGCCATATCCTATTAGGTTGTCCATGGCAGTTTGATGTGGATGCCATACATAAGGGTGAAAAAAATACCTATAAAGTAGAAGGATAAAAAGATTATGGTTGCACCAATAGAGAAGGCATGTAAAGCTTTTAAAGTGGAGGAAAAAGATTTTCTGACCATTATAAATTCAGACACTGAGTTTTCCTTCGATAACCCTTTGTATCCTGATGACAATTCAGTGTCGAGTTGTTTTGAAGTGGAAAGGAGTAATGCATGACAATACCAAAAGGAAATCTGAAACCAATAAGATAAACATTATTTCCTAATAGAAAGCTTCTGTTTAGCTCTATGTTTTATGTTTTCTCGTTGTCTCTATCTTTTCTAATTATAGTAGTGATATGACTTTTATTTTTTATTTAATTAGGACTATAATTTCTTTATTGATTAGAATAAGAATTTTGATTAGATCGGGATTTTATTAATTTCCTTATTTTGGACTCCTTATATTAGTAAGATTAGGGGATAATTTTGTCTATATATAAGGGCTTTGTACACTTTTTCAGAGTTTAATTTCATTATTCGATTCTTAATTAATAAGATATTTCACTTTTTCAATTTATTGGGGGATTTCAATATTTATTTGATGGATTCCAAATAATTATCACGTCCGTTCGAGTGAAAATCGAGCAAACACTCGTTTATGTGTTACGAACTTTATATTTTTATCTCTATCCATGCTTCCGTCTTGCATTAACGGGAAGCTTAATAAAAAAATCTTCCTTGGTCTGAAGATGAGCATAAGAGAACAATCCAACAAATTAAGCCCCGTTTGGTACCAACTAAATTATAGATTTGAATCTAAGAAAAAGTCAAAAATTAATTTTAACCACATATTTTATAGATCCCACAACTTTTCAACGACACATTTCATCAAATTTTGTCAAAATCTATTCAATCTCTAATTTTATTGCATCAATTCCACTTCAAGTGCGTGAGAAATATACAGTAATAAGTATGGGAAAAAGGAGAAGAATATTTGGAAATGAACAAAACTCCGAATTCAACGCTTTAAGTACAGCTCTAAGGATTGAGTCGAGGCAAAAATTTTATTAGCGTTGGACCAAATGTAGACTACATCCCATGTTTTATGGCCATTATTTTGAAAATAATGTTTTTAATGGTGATTTTTTTGAGAATGTGTGGTTAAAAAGTAGGAAAAATTTTGGGTCTATGTGCAAATTTTTTTTTGTTTAAATGTGTGATTGAAAATGAATGTGAATTAAAGAGTTTCAAAATAATCAATGTCTATTGTCGATTTTATTTTCATAATTGTATGGGTCGCAACAAATAGAAAGTGGACCACAGAGCATGGATTATCGTTCTCACAAGGACTATACTTTAGCACTTAATTTAATTTTTTTTCTAACCACTATTAGATGGAAGAAAATAAAAACTTATATGATTTGAGTTGCAATCTAAATACGAGGAAATAAGTTGATGCATACACGATTGGTTTAGAAATTAAATAATGAACGGACGTTAGGGCAGAATAATTTCACTATTAATAACCTTTACATCTTAAATTAAGATTCACATCTAATGCAATATTCGGTCGAATTCTCCTATTATATTCAATTTACCACTATTGAGTTCTCATTAAGCCTATTTAACTAATTCAATTCCATATCTCTATACGAATGTAACTTAGTTAAACGAGTCATTTGTCCTAAGAATTCAATTATGACCGCAATAATTAGTATAAGTATCTCTACTCGTTATACCAATTTATCGAATTTTACTATATGGTCTAAATCATAAACTCATATCTCCATATTAGTAGAGGATTCACAAAATCATAAAATTAGTGATCAAGTAATTTAATGTATTAAATCTATAATAAAATCAACACATGGAATACTAAAGACCAGAATCTTAATTAAAACATAAATGGTTCCAATTGGATTACATTATTCGCCCTAACAATAGATTTAGCTGTTCATAACGAAAGAAGAAAAATAAGAAATTATCTTAGAATGTATCACCGGATTTTTAGTAAAGATGTCGAAGAAAAATTATATATCTTGCACCAAGATCTCCTTATTCTTCCAATCAATGCTCCAAACCTTCAATTGCTTGATGTTTTCCTCCCTTCAATTCTTCTCTTTAATTTCAAGGTATATTTATTGCCTCTCAATGTGTGAATCCCATTCAAAAGAGTGAAAATTTTGTATTTATAAGTGCCTCCCCGTGTGTAGAAAGTAAGGTATTTATGGATTTAAAAAAGGCAAAAAAATGTGCCCTAGACGCACCTAGGCGGCATCGCATCTATGTTTTGGCGACGCCTTGACGCCCTGATGGTGCCAGCTTTCGAGTACGAAATCAAACAGCACTTGCTTCAGTATTTTTATCATAATTTTTTCTTCCGATATCCGATTTAGAAGATTCAAGATGCGTTAAAGAGCTACAACTTTGATTCAAATATCATTTTCAAGTTAGATAATTTTCTATGTCAAAATTGGGTCTCAATATGAGGCTGAAAACAATGCATAACTTTTTTTTTTTTTTGTTGGAACTTAATATGTGATCATACTTTGATTATATTTAATCCATTTGACGTCTTTCTTTATCCAAATGACTCTGAGCACTCTTGAATCTTCGTCATGAGGTCTGACACAACTTTTGTGTATTTGCACTTTAGTCTCCGAACTTTGAATCTCTTGCAACTTAGCCATTTTCTCCAATTTTGCCAACTTTTGTTTATTTTTTTCAATCTTATCAACCTATACCACAATATCAAAACACACATTAAAACACTCTGAAACTCATAGAAATTAATTAAATATCAAGTTTAAGTGGTACTTAAATACACTCATCAATGCCAAACAGAGGTAATTGCATGAATAAGAACATATTGTATACCTCTTGCAAGATAATCTCTTAAATAATAGAGATACAATGGTACATCTTTTCTAATCGTTCGATGTAATAGCATCCTTGAGTGTTTCGGGAATAGAATAATAGTTTTAAAGCCCATATAGGAGTAGGATACATGTTTTGAGTGTTTGAGAATTATCAAGATCTGACATGACACACGTACGATATGGACACGCTATCCTAATAAGAGTGTAAGTACACCCTAGTCCACTAAAGGGCACTCTGTCAGGACCAACTGTCCATGCAGGCCTATACTCAAAAGCAACATAACAAAAAGTGAAAAGTAAAAGATAGGTCATGGTGATGGGCCCTGCTTGGCCCACATTTTAGGCCTTTATAGATGCCGTGATGGACCATGGATGACTCCGCACAAGTTGGGACCTTTACCCACAAAGGTTACTTCACCATGATCTTCTTCTTCCATTGTTACATTTGAATATGCACCCATTTGTTAAGAGTATAAACACCAAAATCCCTCATCAATTATGCCTCCGTTTGGTACTCATTAAATTACATTTCATTATGAAAAGTCGATCTAGAACACTTAGATACACTAGAAAGTTCGGCTAACGTGATACAGTGTCAAATTCAAATTTTATGCGTTACCAAGTTTATGTTCCAAGTTACTAATTTGACCTTATGTGAGGAATTAATTAATCAAAGCAACAAGTCGCTTTAATTAATGTCTAGATAGTTAAACATGCAATCCAATTAATTTCTAAGGTTGAACTGCCGGTTTGCATAATGTAAGGTAAACAATAAACACAATAACTCACAATATGATGATAGAGAAACCCCAACGTGAGTAAAACTCCAGGACCAAGCCAGTGATGTCCACCATACCAATTCAACAAGTACAAGTTACCAAACTTCATACCCAATCAAACCCACTGTTCCAGTCTCACGATTTACTGCTGTAGATGCTTCTAGCCTCCTGCTAGACTTCCCAATCTACCTCCTACAGCCCAATCTGTTGTCCACTACAACCTCCTGGTCCTTCATTGATTGTACCACCAAGTGAAATTCCAAGAACCACCTATTCTTGTTCAATTCACTGCGCTTGTCGTCCACCTCTCTTAATCCCTCAATGAGAGAGCCACTTCCTTACAAGATTAAGGAAGACACGGTGCTTTGGATTCACAAACCTTAATGTTTTCCAAATCCTTGATTGTCAGATCACAAGATGAAAAGATTGAATTCCCAATGAGTCTTGACTTGCATTTCTTGAACATGATATGAAAGTGTATTCAATGTTAGCATAATGCAGCAACAGTGTATCTCACGACCCCAGACTTGTTCTATTTATACTTAGGGGTTAAATGTATCTTGGGCCGTGTAAAAATATCGAAAAACGCGAATTAGGATTTTTCGGATAGCACTGTCGCTCAAGCAACATTTCAACGAAAAGCGAGTGACACACTTTTGCTCGAGCGAAACCGAGGAAAAAAGCGAGCGACGTAGGTTCTGTTTTTTACGCTCAAGCGTTGGCAAGGCGAGAAGCTAGCGAAATTTCGTCGTCGCATTCTTGATTTGATCCTTAGACTCAAACTCTAGTCCCTACCAAACAACTTTACAAAATCTCACCCTAAGTCCCTGACTTTTGCAATATTATTCAATTCAATCCTTGACTTTTACAAATATACAATTAAGTCCATTTTGTCCATAGAATTGCCAATTACACTTTTAGACCTAACACATTACATTTCACTGTCTCTCCCCTATTTCCAACCAAACAATCTTCTATAAAATAATAGTACACATAAATCGAAAAATTTTATTCTTTTTCAACCACTCAAATTTCAAAAAAAAAAAAAAAAAACCAACCATTACACCCATTTTCATTTTCAAAAAATGGGGGCCAAACGGGGTCTATATTATCGAAATGATATTCAACATACAAGAGTTCATACTACTACTATTAAAAACAAGATTGAGTTTTTGATATTGAACCTAAAGGCCCAATATGAGATCACAGTCAGTTAAGTTCACAAACGAGCCACTATCTTGCTAAAGCATCTTAAGGGTATATCATCAAGCATAAGCATCACAGTGGTATTAGTTTCATGATAGGAACAAGAATATGAATGAGAAAAACTTCCTATTACAAGTTTGTCTAGAGATGATATTTGAGAGGATCTAATCTATAATATCACCTATTTTCTAGGTAAGAACGAAAAATCAAACAACATGAACAATCTACAAAATTACAAATATGATGAGAATAGCTAGTTGGACCACAGCCATTGTTCATGCTTATAGAACCACCACAAAGGTTCTTCCTCATCAAGACATTGCAACAGGGTCCCAGAACAAACGACGGTCATTGTGAAGGATAGTTATCTCAATTAAAGTTCTCACTGTGACATAGTGTCTGATTTATGATCTGAATCTGCAGTAGCTTGGACTTGAGCTGCATACTGCAGGTTCCAGAGGACGTCCTCAAATGAGGGGCGGCTTGAAGATTCAAGTAAAATACATTTATTGGTTAAGGATACCACAATTGACAATGACTCTTGTGAACTAGTGGATAACACAATTGGATCCACAATTTTGCGCACACCATCTTGACTGCCAAAGGATGTCTGTATTTTGAAACCAATGTATAATAATCATCAATATATAAAGTGATGGCACTTGATTAGTTGTAGCATAATCTTTGATTTCAAAGTATAGTATTTGGAACTTTAGCGTGTCGAGACTACCAAAGAAAATTGGAATCGTGTTAAAAAATGATGTCATACCATTTCATTAAGCAAAAATGCTTCTCCTTTTCCGCTTGCAACAGGACCCACAAGTGACTCAAGCAATATGAATCCAAAGTTATAAACATCATCCTCTGACTTAGTTGAATGCCTGCAGCAAACAGTTTAATATATTAAAACTAGAAGATAGCTAAAGGAAACTTATATCCCCACGTACTACAATCTTGGAAGTAGAACTAACATAGAGCACAGAAAATAGAAGTTGGGTAACCAGACACTGCTATAGAGACAGAGAAAACAAAAATATGAAAGCTAGGTACTTTTTCATAGCATCAAACTGGTGATGAATTTAAGAAAGTAGAGAACGGGTAAAGCACAGAGTTCTATAATCTCTGATATTAGCATTTTTCCGGGAAAAAAAAAACACTGACAATATTACTTCTAGTGGAAATTTCCTTACCATGATCTGAAGCCATCCCCCTTCGCCTGCAAAGAAAATATTAGATGTGTTAGGCATAGCTCTTGCAACCAATAACATGGTCTAAATGTCAAAGAGACGTACTTCAGCCTTTTCAGTTTCATCTGTGATTATGGACATCCCGTAATCACTAAGCTTTGCAATCCAGTGCTCATCTAGCAGTATATTATTTGTCTTCAGTCGGTTGTGGTAGCATGGGGGAATCACCCCAGTATGTAGAAAATGCACAGCCTTAGCAACACCAATAAGCACACCTAATCGATCCGACCACTTCAGAGCTTTGTCAGGACTAGTATCTGCAGATGCATATAATTGAGTTCAAGCTCAATGAAGTCCAATATATTTAATATGCATTTACAGAAAATGAGCTAAAAAACTCAAAGGATTTTCAAATGATAAAAAATGAACAGCAGAAGGCTCTTAAAATGACATGTCTAGAAATATAGACGTAAAGTTGGACTCAGTGCCGTTCAGTTCTAGATATACAGTAAGGATCCCTTGACTCTGAATCCTACACAGTAGTTCCACCACCTGAAAGGTGAGCACGGAAGTTTCCATTAGGGACAAATTCGTACACGAGGAGCAATCTATGCATAGATGAATCTTCCTGCTTTCCACCATCAATGCAATGACCTAGAAGGCCTACAAGATGAGGGTGCCGAAGCTTTGAGAGCAAATCCAAGCGTTGTTTGAGGTTCTGAATAGAATATTTTCTACATAAAGCCAAAGATCGTATAGCAACATAGGTTCCATTCTCTAATCTTCCTTTGTAAACCTGAAGTTAATGAGAACAAAATATGTAAGTTTGTTCATGATTTAATATTAGTCACATGAAGTTAAATGTAAATTTAAAAAGCGAGAAGAAATTGTTAAATCTCTGATGTATATGGCATGTGTATATGAGAGTTGTATATCTCATTTGGGCAGCAAATGCCACTTTGCCAGAAATTGCTATAAAAATAAGACCTCAGCTCATGGTTTTGGGAGTCAAATATCGTCCAATATATACAATGAACACAGATAATCATTTTTTTATTGAGAAAATTCCTAAAAATGAATTGATAAGTTTGCCCTAACTACGTGCTTTATCACTATATATAGCCTGTCGTTGATTCTTCATGTTCTATAACAATAGAACTTTCACGGAGACATTGTTCCCACTGGCCAATTTCATTGTTAAGGCATATCCTTCCACCACAGTATTCATTCATTTCTACATGGATTATCATTGTAAGCCTCTCATAACTCTCCTTGGAAAACTAGTATTAAATGCTTCTCATTCAAGAAACACAAATACCATGCTAAGGAGACTGAGTGCATCAGACAATAAATATATTTGCAAATAACACGTTAATAAGAATGGGTGGTACAGAAGGTAAAATAGCATTTCTAGGGGTACCTTTCCTATAGAGCTCTCGCCCAGGAAAGCTAATGGATCAAAATTCTCAGTGGCCTCTCCCAGTTCTTCAAGGGAAAACACCCTATATGCTGCAGCACTTTGTGTCCCAAGTTTTACTGCTTGAGAAATGATCCCTAAAGCAAAAAATTTGATAAATGAATTTTAAGCAAAAAACTATCTCCTTGAGTGGATCTATGATTAGCTTCTCTCAAGGAAATGCTCAAATAAGCGGATATTTTGACTAAATTTTAACAGAACTTACTGGCATTTGCAAGGAGTTCAGCAGAAATCCCTAACCGTGCTTCATCTTGCACGGTCTTTGGTATAACATGCTGAACCACTGTCCTCTCTGTATGATGTCTTTTACAGAAAAAGAGCATCCCAGCAACCAAGAGGAGTACAACAATAATAACAATTACCCCAATTACAGCGGCAAATATGGCAATTTTCTTTCCAGAAGACAGTCCCTTATCTTTGTCAGTGTCTTTGCAATACGACTCAGGATGCTGATTTCTGTTATCAAATGAGAAGCAATTCCCACGAATCTTCACAACTCTCTTATCTGAATCAACGTCCAGGCAAGTTGGAAGCGCACCTATCAATCTGTTATCAGAAAGATCAACGAGACTAAGTGCATCCCCACACTTGAGATGCTGCAGAAGTGAACCACTAAGCATGTTGGAAGATAAGTCCAAGTAACTAATATTCGGCAAAGAGAACAACTCCGTAGGCGGCACTCCACCCAGATGATTGTTCGATAAATCTAGATGCTGAAGTTCTTTCAATTCGCCAAGTTGTTCAGGTATACTACCAGAGAATGAATTGTTGCTCAGAAAAATATTAGTCAGTCCTTTTGGAAGAGGAGGCAATTGGGAATCCAAATGGTTCTCTCTCATATCCAGTAATTGTAAATTAGACAAGCCACTCAAATCAGGCAATTTCCCAGAAAGCAAATTGTGTGACAAAACGACTTCGGTCAGTGTTGTTATTCTGGAAACTGTAGAAGGAATCTGGCCCGTCAACCTATTGTTTTTTAAGCTTAAAACAGTGAGATTTGTTAGAGAATCTAGCCATTGGGGGATTGTATCATTGAAAAAATTCCCATCCAATGTAAAAGTCTGAAGCTTCACCATTCTAGACATCTCTGATGGAATCGAGCCAAATATAAAATTCGAACTCATATCCAAAGCTTCAAGGGAATCCAACCGATGAATTTTGTCGGAGAGAGGTCCCCAGATTCCCAGAGAAACTAAGCTAAGAACCCTTAAGCTAGTTAACCTTGTCAATGTAGTGACAAAAGAATCAATAGAGAAACTCCGAGACAAAGTTTGATTTTGAATTGCAAATCCATTGAATTCACTGACCTTAACAGACTTATCTCCCATAATTCTGAGCTCGATAACAGAGTTGTTCTCGCATTTAATGCTCATTTGTGGAGGGGAGGACAAATTACATAAATCGCCATTATAATTTTCCCAATTAGCCAAGGGCATTGGGTACTCCAAGTGCTTCCTCAGCTGGTGAAGAATTTGTGATTCGTAGCTTCTTAACTGATGGGTACTTGAAGCAAAGAAAATCCATGAAACAATCACCATAACAACTACATTTGAACACCTCATTTGCAAATTCGAATTAGAGGACCTTCAATTTCAAAAGTTTGTAAACAAAACCCTAGAAAGATTGCAACTTCAATGGGCTACTGAGAAACAAAAACAGACCCATCAATCAGAAACAGCTAAATCCACAAATTTCTGAAAGACTGTATTTAAGGTGGTAAAGCTCAATTAAAAATTTAAGACGACATTGAAGCACTTGCTTCATTACTATTATTAGTGCACAAATACCGTTCAAACAGCATTAAATGTCTAAATATGAGCCAGAATTTAAGAAATCTTAAAAAAAATTAAAATGGTGAATTTAATGCAAGTGAATTTGGTTCAAGTAAATCACTGAATGCCAGCATTAAACTGGTCAAAAAACAAATAAAGAAGCCAGAGAAACAACCTTAAGCTACTCACCCGAAGAATGTTGGGTTTTTCAGGAGAGAAGATAACAGGCAAAAACGAACCACGAGACGAGACCTAGATGTCTTAGCTGATTGGATAATAGAGACAAATCCCCGGGATAAATGAAGTATAATAAAATGTTCTGAGGACTGAGGAGATTTTTTGATAGAATAAAAAGGGGTGGGCTAAATAATGGAGATAGATTGGTGGTTGAGAAGAAGAATTTGACACTAGCAAAGCATTTACTGCAGCATGCATTCAAAAAGGAGAAGAAAGAGAGTAAAAAATGGCAATTATGAAGTGGAATTGCTACAGCCGTTTGTCCGGCTTGCATTAATGGTGTCGGTTCTTATCACACAGACAACAAATCGCCCTATCCAACCTGTGTAGTTTAGAAATCTTCCTCGCTGGCGAGAAGAGGACTCGAGGTGACTAACAGGAGAGAGAGAGGTCAACAGCCAAATGGAGAATATGAACGGTATGTATCATATACGGTTAGGAATATTGAACGGTTATTATTACTATTATTTAATATAATTAAATCCTTTTATCCATCCTACTCGATTTCATATGTTCTTTTAACTTTAGTCTTCAATGTCAATATTGATCGTATATAGTATTCACATATTAATGAATGAACCAATCTTTGTATTTTCTGTAGACGTGGATATTTTGTAAAGACTAAAACGTCATGCAATAGGCATATTGCACAATCACGATAACGAATCAACACCAAAATCTAATACACAACATAAATATTCAGTTCAGACCACCAACGAAGTTGGTTTACTGTTTTTGTTTCCGATGTGACAAAGTATAGACCTCGTTGACAAACCAACAACAAAGTTGGGTTGCCCCATCCAAAACCAAAGTGACTAAATACAAACATCGCGACTTGAAGCAATCTCAAGGCATTCATTCCCGATAGTTGCCCTTATGAAATAGAAGTTACTACAATATCCTTTTTAAAATGGCAAAAATCTTCTAACACCATTGTACTTCGCTACATACGTTTCTTATGAAAATTCAGAAAACAATATGACATTTCTAAGACAACTTAGCAAGAGGATCAACTTCAAGTACATAATAACAACTAAGAAAGGTACAAAATCAAATATGTGACTATGATAGAGTCGATTACACTTTGATAAAGGCCAAAGAGGTCAAAAATACTCCTATTCAAAATCCCTTAGACCTTTGAATACACACACAAAATCATAAATTTTAGCTAAAAATTATATCTATTTATTACTCTCACACCCAATATTTCAATATTTAACATGATCGTACGACCTGGCATTTTAACAAAATCCCAATGTGTAATTAATTGCATAGATATACAGGATGGTAAATCGGTGATCACACATTTATTGATACCTAGATCTACAAATTTAATGGTCAATAATTCTTTTGATCCCCACCCCCACTTTTCACGGTTTCACCAGAAGTTTTCTTGGTCCCATTGGCATATTAATTGATAACTTTTTAAACCGACATTCAATTTGTGTGGGTGAAGGTAAGCTTTATGAAGTTAGGAAAAAAAAAAAAAAAATGCTAGAAAGGGTTTGTGATTGTTACTGTAATTACCCCTTTATTATAATGCCATGAACGGGTAATTAACATAATCCTTTTTTTTTTTTT